ACAACCACAACCACAACCACAACCACAACCACAACCACAACCACAACCACAACCACAACCACAACCACAACCACAACCACCACAACAACAACAACATCAAACACACCAACACCAACACCAACACCAACAACAACAACAACAACAACAACAACAACAACAACAACCACAACCACAACCACAACCACAACCACAACCGCACGAAGAGCTGCAGCAGCAGGAGCAGCGGTAAAATACAATTAACTCGCATTGTCCGCAAGTGCGATGCGCGTGCAAAAATAAGCGGGGGGAACAATAGTTGCATCATGCTTCTCTAGCAGGGCGCCGACATTCCAGTTCCCTCGCAAGCTTTTATCAGAGATGACAATGTTAGTCTTCCAATGGATGAGCACAAACACAAACTGCGTATTGAATAAAACTATTCTCTTAAGACTTCTGGGCTCAAGAAAAACTGAAATAAACCAAATCTGCAACACCGCAACAAACGATCGCAAACCGTTGCAGAAAGAAGTGCAAGTGTAGCAGGTCAGCGAATGAAACGAAGGCAGGTGAGCTTCAGAATTGAAGAACACGAAGCAAACTCTCCGTTCCAATGCGAAGACGACCTACGACTTTGACGTGCCAAAATCACTCGAAAGAGCCAGCCTTCAAGGTTTTCCACTCATCGTCGTCCGCTGCCGCAAAACACATGCCGCCAGCGCCCCCCAGCGGCAGTCGGGGCTTGTTGTTATGGGCCTTGACGAGGCCGTTGAAGCGGCGGCGGCCTTTGAGGTAGGATCGCGGGTGCCTGGCACTTTGCTCCGGGCCAACCATTAAATTCAAATGTCAGGATAAAGTTCTGGTACTGTCAAAACCGAAACATCAGCGGCCTCGCAAGAGCGACCACGGCCTCTCCTCGACCTCAGCCGCTAAAAGGTCTTCCAGCGGTGTGGCAACAGCCGCGCCCTGCAAAATGGAAAGGAGGCAATTCTTCTTTCATGGTATGAACAAATGCGAAGCAAGTCCATGAACAGACACGCGCCTTCTCAGGAACAAATTCCAAGTTCATGGTGTGTTGCGCCATCCGTCGGTTGCCCCATGGATCCACATCTCGCACTTTCGCGGGGGCCGGCACGTCCTCCACCACCTGGGAACAGTTGACGGCCGCAACGAAAACAAAGGAGGAAGACGAAGAAGTGTTGGGCGATTTTATGTGGAGAAGCCTACTCTCTCGCGGCAAAGATCAAGAAAGAACAGCCAAGAAGACGAACCCGCCTGGCGGCGATGTGATTGAGGTGGCTTGCGCGAAGCGCGGCAGGGAAGACCCCATGCCAAGCGGGCCAAATCATGCACTACCTCCTGAAGAGCATTGCACGCAAGCCACAAAACTAAATGTCAGGACAACGACAGCCGCTCAGACGTTGATCAACCAGACCCGTCCTTCTTACCGTTGGCGACGATTTTGTGGAGGTGGCCGGCCGCGAGGGAGCGATCCTGGGCAACTGGAAAAAGAGCACGTGGAGTAAGGGCTGCAGGCTTCAACATTGCGCTTTTTCGACTGCTTGCCTCCGGGGTGGCACACAGAGGCAAGCGCATCTCAAGCGCTGCTTGCAGCTGCGGCGTCCACATAGGTGGCGTGAACGAGTTCGCGCTGTCCTGCCCGATGGCAAAGATAGGAGCAAAATTGCAAGCTAGATTTTGGTAAGCCTAAACTGTCTGTCTTTTTTGGTCGCTGACAAAATAGACTCCAATCCTGAACAATGTCAAGCCCAAGGTGTTCTGTGCACGCGCCAGCCAAAGGTTTGCACCGGAGCTTCACGCATGTGAGTGAGTGAGTGAGTGAGTGGAGTGGAGTGGAGTGGAGAGTGGAGTGGAGAGTGGAGTGGAGAGTGGAGTGGAGAGTGGAGAGTGGAGAGTGGAGAGTGGAGAGTGGAGTGGAGAGTGGAGTGGAGAGTGGAGAGTGGAGTGGAGAGTGGAGTGGAGAGTGGAGTGGAGTGGAGTGGAGTGGAGTGAGAGTGGAGTGAGAGTGGAGTGAGAGTGGAGTGAGAGTGAAGTGAGAGTGAGTGAGAGTGAGTGAGAGTGAGTGAGAGTGAGTGAGAGTGAGTGAGAGTGAGTGAGTGTGAGTGAGTGTGAGTGAGTGTGAGTGAGTGTGAGTGAGAGTGAGAGTGAGTGAGTGAGTGTTTCAAACACTCCACCTGAGCCACCGGCTCTGCTCAAGGTGAAACAATACTCCATCCAGTCGAAAAGGAATCACCAACTCAACTCACCCAACCCAGCTGCGCAAAATTGATGCTGTTGGTGCACATGGCCAATGAACTTGACATCTGGATGCGCCACTTTTGTGGGAAATCATGAGTTAAATTAACATACATAGATAAATGTGAACTAATGTAAAGATACTTGTACACATTAACACATGCATAGTGGATAAATTGAGCTAGGTAAATAGACTAAACCGCAATAAACACATATATATATATATAAGTTGACTCTTGCAAACATCATATCACAATCATCTGTCATGAACATCATCATTGTCATCTACCTACCCCAACATTATACACGCACACAGCCGTTTGCACACACCCAACCCATCTCACCTCATCCGCTATCACGTTTGTTCCGCTGTTTGATGCAAAACGACAGCTGACATGTGTTATTTTTGGTTACTTAACCTTTTTGGTATGGTCTTGCTTGTTTCCCCGCAATACTCCAGCGCGCGCTATTGAACCTCAGCTAGTACTGTCCATGAACATGGTACGTAATGATATGAATCTTGTCCTGCATCCTTCAACCTGTTGCGCTCATGCGGCGTCAGCATGTCACCTTCGCTTCGACCTACATGACCGGGGTCATTTGGGTAGACCAGGGCGGGCACGCGATCTGCAAGTCCTGCGTCCTGCTGCACGGAGCGATCCGCGCGAGCTAGCTGCCCGAATAGTCCGACTGTACAATGACCTGGCTTTGCCTTGAAAAAAGACAAGCTCTTGGAAATGGACAAGACAAGCTCCCATAGACTTCGCAAAAAACAAGACTCCAGCCCGACTAGAACCCGACTAGTCCTTACTAGCCCTATGTACATCACAGCCCAAGCATGTGGCCCAAGCAAATCGCAAGAGTCAGTCCCAGCAAGCTTGAGTACTGAAGTCTCCATGTGCAAAGTTGTTCATTTCCAAAGGCAAACTTCAGGCACTGCTTGAGCAAATACTTAAACCAAAGTAATGTCTGACTTTTTCAGACGAGCCTCTTCGTCTCCCACATCTTCCCACCCTCGTATCACCTCGCTCGTTCGCCAGCGCGCGCGCGCGCGGTCAGCGCACCCGGCCGTTCCCGGCCTTGGCCCGTTCCGTGTACATCGCACGGGCCCACTCCACTTTCTGCCTACGGGATCGGACGGGAGGATTCAGTGGGATCCGTGCGATCGGGCTCCAGTCGTACCTCCGGTTCGGTATGACTGGAGCCTCTAAACCCACCTACCTCAAACAGCTTCTTAGAAGGTACTTGGAGGCCTAGGGTATAAATGATAGGAAAATGAGTGTGAGTTCTTTGTACAGTAATAAAAACAGTGATAACCGTGTTATTTGTTGGTGATGTGCTATTGATACACCGATTAGCCTTGAATACATCCAGATCCCTGTTTCGCCAGGCAAAAGCCAAACAGAAACTTGCAACTATCAGAACCTTGCACTCTCAGGCTTCTTTCAAAAGTTGGGGACTTTAAAATATGGCTCCAATCAGTCTTACCCTGCAAATTCACGTTATATTATCATGATATCTGCTTGGAGGCCATTGCGGCTAGTAGGTTGGACGGGCGGTGGATCACTTACGCACCACAGATTTGTCTCACTTGCGCGCATTTTCGCTCACTTACGCACCACAAAATTGGATCACTTACGCACCAAGACCCATTTTTTCATGATCCCGGCCGTAATTAGGCCTCCAAGTACCTTCTGAGAAGGTGTTTGGGGTGGGTTTGGAGGGTCCAAATACCTTCTGAGGAGGTACTTGGAGGTGTAGGGTATCTGTCAAAATATTTCATCCCAACCACTGCGTCATCCAGCCAGTCCACCGCCCCCAACCCACGGCCTCATGCGCATGCCGCTGGGAGCATCGAGCCCCAGCTCTGCCGACTGCTCCTTGGGCACCTGACGGAGGCGCCGCAACGAGGCTTGGGCCCTGGATCGCGACAGAAACGAAGAAAACGCCGATACTATACCATATCCCTAGGGCTCCAACCACCTCCTGAGAAGATGGTTGGGGTGGGTTTGGAGGGTCTAACCACCTTCTGAGGATATGGTTGGAGCCCGGGTATATGGAGTTGGGTGGTTTTTAGATGTTTTTAGTCGCAGTGAGTGGATGTGGATGTGAGGCACCCCGACTTCCTCCCAGTTCGGCACCCCGTCGAACGTGACCCCTGGTTTTTCAGAATCGAACTGGGTCAACCTATAGCCTTAGGGTCTTCCCCAAAGAATCCTGGGGCAAGTCCCTACACCTCCACCTCGTACCTCCTCAGGTTCGGCATGTGGACCCTCCTGGCACCCGGGCTCCCAGTCCCTCCTTCGAAACGACACCGCTACGTACTGGAGGCCCGGCCCAAACGGGATCCGATCAGATCCTTTCGACCGAGGAGGTCCGGTCATGGCACCTCCCCCAATCAGATTCCGAGGTGCTTCGTCGACTCACGGCCGAACTGGGACGGTCCGGACTCCCGTCCCCGCTCGGTCCGAGTCCAAGACGTCGGGTTCCCCGAATCAGTGGACCCCTGTGGATGGGGCACATGAGGCCGAGCTGGTGGCCGAACACCCCACAAAAACCACCGAGGTGGTGGTATGAGGTGTCAGTAAATGGCAGACTGGGCCATCCTCTTGAACTTAAGCTTGTCAACTGTTTGGTCAAGGGTACCCAGACGCGATCCATGGGACTGACCCCCAGTCAACCACCCCTACCTGGAGCGTCTGGAGTTCCAGCCCTTTGATGCTCCAATGAGCTTCGGGTCCGGAAACGACGTTGGGGCTGAGGAGTTTAGGGTTTAGGCCCCGTGAAGATGTTCAGACACACCCAGGTGGTTCATGAATGATTGCTGACAAGTATCTATATATAGCTGTATAGCGGAGATCTCTAGCTGACATCTTGTTCAACAGAATCCTCCAGTCTACTCAGTCTTGTGTTTGTAATTGGATATTGTCTACAAATTTTAAACAAAATCACCTGGACCACTTCCGCACCCATCCACTTCCCCATCCACCCATTTTTCACCCCCCCAAACCTCCTCAACCCTCCCCAACTCCCAAACCGACCACGTCCGAGGGAACTCCGTTCGCGCACGCGCACACCTCATCTCTGGCGATGACCAACTCCGCGAGCTCCAGTTGAACGTCCAGCGCATCGTCGGGACGTTGGAACTCCAAGACCAACACTCCGTGGGCGTCCCGCAACACGCCTCACGCGCGCGGTTTGGTCGCTGGACATCACCCGTTTCACGCGTTATATATGGGGACTGGCGGCGTCCTCATTCTCATTCTCTCATTCTGGGGGCTTCCTGGGATCCATCTATCGAGCAACCTCCGCAGGCAATGCTCGGTCACGCCTCCTTTTCCAAAGCGGCTCCGGCTCAGGCGATACAAGAACTCCTCCGGTGTCTCTGGAACTGCATCTTCCAATGATGTGCCTGCCGTTGGCTGGAGAATGAGGAACATGACATGCCCCCCCACCTCAGTCCCTGCAAAATTGAAGCCAGCAGCCATACCAAGTCCTGTTCAAGATGTCCAAAAAGACATTCTTTCTTACTCTATAGCGAAGTCACGGAAGTTCCTCACAGGGGTCACCTAAAGACAAGCATTATAGACTTCTTTATTAGACTTCCAGGGAAAGACTATCCCGCATACAATGTTATATACTTAATCTCGAGTACCTATTAATAAACACTCCCCAATTAAAAAAACACCACGTCCGAACCCCTAAATTCGGTTTATATTTGGTTTTAAGTTGCCGCCCTTTCAAGCCGCTACTAAACTACCAGCATGGTCGATTTTGGGGGTAGTTTTTTAATTAGGTTCCCCAAAACTCCACCATGACACGCCGCGCTTACACCAGCAGGCTTTCCTTCCCTCAATGGCACGGACTCACGCAAACGCACTTGCCACCGAGGTCATGCAACACCGCATGGCACAGCGACATCACCTTTCGAAAGCTTTAGCTGTTAGTCTACTGAAGAATCACCATTCTAATGAAGGTTTTTGTAGGGGAAAAGGAAGACCCTTCGATCTGGCGGTTTTTTGCATTTTTGATACGAGTTTAATAAAGGATTTTATATAAAATTTTCCTGGATTACTTTTTGGTTTTGAAACTCTTTCCAGGTGACCCTATTTTGCCCCCCCCCGATTTCAGGGACCCCCTATTAGAAAAAATGCGACCGAGGTTTTTTTAATAGGGGGGGGCCGTGTTTATTATTAGGAGGATGGGATTACAGCATTTCTATGGTAAGGTCATTTGCCCAACTTATGGGTATCACATACCCCATGATAGGGCTTTGGGGTGCCTGTTCGTGCCGATTCACAAGCAAACCCAAGCTATTTGCAGGGTGGCACACTGAACAATCCACCAACCTGTGCAAAAAACTGGACAACAACCCGCCAAGAATTGATTTAATTATGATGAGTTCCACCAACCAACCAACCAACCAACCCACCCACCCACCCACCCACCCTCCAACCCACCCACTAATCAACCAATGCAATTGCACTTCACGCCACTCTCCGCCAGCTATCCATTTCAACAATCCTCAGCCCAAAGCAACTATCTCATCCACCATTGAGTATCCACATCTAGTGAGAACTGAGTCCTTTCCAAAACAGAACTGAGTCTCCCAGTTTGAACATAGCCCGTTCGTTTACCTAGCGGTGCTGGCTCGAATATTGGAGACATTTGAGCCATGGGCATTTGGAAATATATATCCTCGGATGAGGAAAGCTTCAAGGAGGACAGTGGTTTTGTGAATACCCTCCTATGATCCCTTTGAACCTTAACTGTAATCAGGAGTCCATGACGATGACGGACGCCCAAACAAGCTTCTTGGACATGGGCAAGAAGATCCGCCAAGATGCTGGAACCTTGTTATTTAACCATCTGGCCTTGCAAACTAGTAGTTTGTTTTCGCCGCCACTAAAAGTTTTCTTCAGCCAAGGATTGTCCAAAATCCTGCGAGATTGGGACATGGAGTTTGGGTATGCAAGCGATTGCACCTCGCTTGACCGAACCCTCTTTTTTCCACTCCTCGCGCGATTTGGTCATTTGACAATTGCTTTGCTTGAGGCAGTGGCATGGACACTCCTCTCATGGGCTTGAAGCTGCTGTTGGGCCCGAAAGGCTACTTCCTATCATACAAGCTCCTTGCCATAATTTGGTTGACAGCTGAGGTCCGACTCCCAAATCTATATAGTGTTAATTTACTAATCACCCCCACTGAGGTACAACAGCGAGAAGAATGCAACTGCCCAACGATTCCTTCAGGAGAACTTTGAGCCCCCTGAACAGAAACTTGGCAATGTAACAAAGCATGTTTCACAGGTGAACTAAATAGTATGGTAGTGATATATCATCAACCCCCCAAGGTCTTTCGACGATGTCTTCAAAGTGAAGCCGGCACCATTCTGGAAAAAGGCGGGAAAGCAATGTTGAGGAACACACAGTTCTTTTTGAACACTTTATGCTCGGCAGGTTGGCATGTATGCGTCGGGGTTCCCGTGCACTCCGTATTCTCGCTTGGGACAACGCCAAAAGTTGGCTGATGCTAATGCCAAGCAGCTGCATGCGGTTATCAAACATATTAGCATTGTTGAGCCAGCAGCCACTTGGTTCCAGTTCTTTTCTCGAGAGTTCAGTTGAGCCAGCAGCCACTGCCTTTTCTTCTGCTACATTCACTCATTCATGCATCATCTAAGTCGGGGCTCCTGGAGAATGTCAAGGGATTCCTTGATGTGTGGCCAACTGTGAAGAAAACGCTTGAGAAGAAGCTGCCACAGAAGCTTGGCTGTCATTATCAAAAATCACTTTAGAGCCTGTGTGGGTCAAATATGTTTGATGCTTGTGACTGAGTCAAGGTATTTCTTTGCCACAGTGGACCTGAACCCGCATCTTGGCCAGGTTACATGATTCTAAATGATGATTCTATTGGGATCATTTAGATGCCTTCCAAATTATCTTTTATGAGGACATCCTACGGCAGCCCAATGAGCAGGGACAGAATCTACATCCTATTTGTGATGAAATCTTTGGCAAAAGCGAACCTGAACTTTGAAGACTTTGCCAAGAAAGTGGCCAAGAAACTACTTCAACAGCCCCCAAACTTCTCCTGGTTCCTTGCCTCAATTCAGCTTCAAGTGAAACAGCCACTCAGCGATTTGGTTGGCTTTCATCTCCTTAGCTGCTCTCCAAGGAGCGATCTTCTTTTGGATGATGACCACTATGCCGTGGAGCAGTCCAAGAAGCGCAGAAAAGAAAGGCATTTTGTCAATCTTGCAAAAACGAATCTTGGAACACATGTAAGTGTCAGAACTATTCAGAACTTACATATTGTTTTGATAGACTCTGTATAACTTGGTGGCCTAGGAAATCCAAGACTGCCAAATGGGTTCTTGCTCACAAGCGCTGGGCTGCAAAGCGGAAGGCCTGATTCTTGCTCGTAAGCACTACCAAAGCTCAACTGTCACCATCTTGTTCAACCCTGAGGTAAAAAAGAGTGCTGCATCCTTCAAGTGCAAATTCCCAAATGCTGTGCATCAAATCACCACCCATCGTGAACTGGATGATACTTGGTTCAACATTACGGTAACATGACATAGCAAAAGTGGATTTGCGTGGTTGATTGCCTTTCCTGATTTGCTTAGGCCCTGGATAAGATTACAACATGGACAAATGGAAAGTTCCAAGTGGTGAACACCTCACAAACATTGCCGCGCATGCACATCATCATGGACAATCACTCGTTCCCTTGCATTACGTGATTGGCTCAGAGTTCTACTGCCTTTCCCTGATGTAACAAGAGTCTGTGCATGTTACTCACCAACCAACCCATCAAGGCCGCAAGGAAGATTCTTCCTCGCCAAGAAGCAAAGATTTCTCACAGGCACGGTCAGGATGTTGTCATCAGCGATTTCCTGCAGCTGGCCGGAGGATTGGAAGCATTGATTTTGATGGGCCTTCCAATCGATACTCTTAGCTTGGCTGGCTTCAGTGATCGCGAGGCTTGCCTGAACAAACTGAGCACTTTGCTTCAAGTTCCCTTCAACTTGTCTTACTAAAATATACTGCTACAGTAAAATACCTGTGAGCTGAGATCCGAGGAACTACACTGCTTGGCTGGGAACGGGATGGCAATGCAAGCAGTTCTCGTTGCACAATGCATTCTTCTGAACGCCTTGGACATGGATATGTTGCGGGTCTATCTCAGTGATCAGGCCTAGGCTTCAACACTCTTTCAAGTAGCCAAAACCACTAAGGAATGTCACAGGGATCAGTTTTGTTGTTTGAGTCATGTAGTTGTTGCCTATGCCCTAATAATGCAATTGCAAGCAATAGCCTGTTGCTAAACGGGCCGGCTTTCAGCAGAGGGAAAATGCATTCAATAAGGCTTGTCATATCATGTGCAAGTCAAGCACGCCATGCCACAAGCTTGCGCGCGTTACGTTCACAGTGCTTCATTCTGTTCAAGAGGCTGACAGGGGTCGCCTATGATAGCACTTCTTTTTCCGTTATTTGCACTTGTTCAGATTTGGTGTTTTTGGACAATCAAACAGCCAACTACGGGAATCAAAATCATTTTTCTACTACTGGCTCATTCTGTCTTTTTCGCACCATGCCTGTCCTTCATCGTTGGAACGACGATGATGATGAAAAAGTTGCACCCATCGCTCGTCCATCCTCTGGCGGTGCCTGGCGGTATGATGAAACTGAAAGCGAGGGTGAAGAATCTGAAGGCAGCTCTCAGCCACTCGACCACAAAAGTCTGTTTCGCTCATCGAAAACATTGCTTAACTTTGTTGATTTAACAAGAATCTAAGGGGGGAATGGAGCAGCGATGCATCACTGCTAGATGAATCTGATGAAAGTGATGGAGATGGTGGTGGTGGTCCATGTGAGATGGTTTTCAACCTGCGTAGGCTAGAGGCTTTGCACGGGGACAATATTGCTGACCATGAGACTGTGCATTCCACCTATGCACAAAATGGCATGTCTCAGAAAAGGATCAAACACGCCCTCAAACATCCTGGCTGCAGCTGTGGCTGTAGTATGCCTTTCAGACTCCTTGTCCAGATTTGTTGCTCTTTCTGGAGCTTGAGCAAGGGCATTCAGGACAGTTTGCTATGGACACTGCAAACAGAGCTGGCCCGCAAAAGGAGAGTGAAATGGCGAATTGAGGGTTTCTTGGACAGTGAGTCAGTGTTCTTTGCTCAAACACCAACATAACAAATGTAAGAACAACATTCAAGTTTGGAGTGTCCAATGAGGCTATGAACTATGCAGGGTGGCATGGATGAAGTTCCTTGGTATCGGCCGGGGCCGTGTATCCAGGACACGGAAGCGACCAAGGGGCCTTGATGAGCGAAAGTTTAACCATGGAGTCTTGGCTGATCTTGACTTTACCGCAGTGCATCTGGAAATGCACATGATAACTGTTTTGCTCATACCTAGGAGGTGCAGCCTCAGCAGTAAAGTCCACTTCTGTGAACACCTTCTTTGTACACCTGTATTGGAGTGCTGGTGAGTCCATGACTGTGACGAACCTTGTCTGGTAACTTGTTGTTGTGAGAGGATGGGTTTTGCCAGGAGTTATATAGGTTCAAGAATCAGCTCCTGTCTGAGGAGTTCTGGAAAGTCTGTTCTGGAATCTAGCGACACAGAACTTCGGAGTGCATTGTTGGAGAAGCTGGTGGACCAAATGTTGATGGGACCGACTCGTCAAGTGCATGAATCGGACCCAACTTGCTTGCCTCGACGGGAGTTGCCTCACGGCAACATCTCCAATTTATATCTGCTTTACTTGGCATACACCAGAACGGCAAAAGGTACAGTTGAAGTTGCGAGCAGAGCCACTTTCTACCAAGTTGCCAAGCACTGGCTTAAAACATGCCTCAGATTCCACAAAAAGACCAGTCACGCCATTTGCCTGACGTGCAGCAAACTGAAGGCAAGACTCCGAGCTTGTTCAGACTTCGCTGCCCATGCCAAGATAGCCGATGAACTTCTTTCCCACTACACTTTGATGTGGAGAGACCGAGAAATTTATTGGAAGAGCAGGGAAAGATCCCAGACGCACCAGGACCAGCTTTGTTTGGTGGTGGACTCCTACGACAAAGCTAAAATCATGCTGCCACGCTGGCCTGCTAATAGATTGCCAAAGAAGAGCCTTTATGAAGTTGTTCGCCGTGCCTTGGTTGCAATTGAATAATATTAAATTGAAGCATGAGATGGGATTCTCATGTCATGTCATGTCCCATCGGCTTTGGTTGAACTACAAGGCACTCATCTGACACTAACTTGTGTCATATGCCACGGGCATCTTTGCAAGATGTTCTTAGCCTGGGAAGGAATGCCTCTGGGGACAAATTGGACATGGGAATGTGAACCTTGCATCAAATTACGAGATGAATTGTTTCAGTCACAAAATATTGAGTCTTGTCGTTCAGATTTAGATTCCCCACTGAACCACTCAGATCATGCGCTCACTGGACCACACTTTCCAGATCTGCAGATCGAAAGCTCGACCCATGCCATATGAGCAACTCGGATGCCATAATTCAAGAGCAACCACTCTGCTTTGGGGTTGTCATTGCTTACTCAACTCTTATTGTTGCTGCAGTTGCAAGGTTGTGGCTTCAGGCCGACAATGCTCCAAAAGAACTGAGATCGCAGTATACTGCACAAATCTTATGCCTCCTCACCCAATCCAACTACTTTTCGTGCGGCTCCCACAACCACTTAAGAGTTGGCCACACCCATGAGGATGTGGATGGGGTGCTGAGTTTGGTGACTGCTGCCCTCAAAGAAGCTCAAGACTTGATGACTCCAAATGATGTCATGAGGGTCATCCGATCCAAGCTTACTCCTATCTTTGAGAAGCGTGACATGGCCTTCGACATCGAAGTGGTGGATTCTGTAGCTTGCTGTGTGCCCAAAACTGTTGCAGTATATAACAAAATTTATGTTGTACTTTCACCCGCAACCATGACTTGTTGTCATGAAGTATAAACGCTTGACTTAGGTACGCGATTGGGTTGGGATGCTTCCTGGAAGTGTCACACTCAAGAATGCATACCTCGACCGTGGGAAACGGAATCCTGATGATACGAGGAAGGTTCCGCAGAGCTTCACGTTTATGCAAAGACAATATCTTCCAAGGCGAGGAATTGATTTAGATTTAGATCAGAAGACTCCGGCCCATTTGAGGCAAGAAGACAATTGTCATGATATTTTTGCGATGATCAAATTGAACATGTCTGACCAACATCTCAGCCAGAAACCTCTCCTTGTATATCCAGCCAAGCTGCTTTCTCAGTGCGAAGAGTTTTGGAACAGCGTCAATTCTACAACCATGTTCTACCAGGCAGAACTTGACAGTGAAAGGATCTCCGAGCTACAGGAACTCTACAAGAACTTTGCTGTCGATTTCCCAAACTTTGGGCGTGCAGTTGACTTCTACAGGTCAATGATCACCCCTCGGAACTTGAAGCCGTTTCAAGAGTTGAAGTTCTTGAGAGCCCCGAAAGCGAATGTCAGATGGTGTCAAGTGCAATTGGGTGAACGCCCACCAGAGCCAAAAGCACATGTCTTACAAGTAGTTTTTCACAGGCGCTAGCCAGGGGTTCAGTCAGATGCTCGGACTTCAGGTTCTGCCCCCGGGGAAGCACAACACGTATATATAATAATATATATATATATATTAGCTACTATGTTTTAATATATAAACTAAGACAGGTTATGGAAAAACATAACGAAAAAACATCTGTGAAAGGTTGAGAACCTGTAGCGATCATCTGCCTGCCTGCAAAGCAGGTATTGAGGGTAGCTCATGTGTTCTCACTGGGAAAATATGCCATCCTGGCTGGTGAGTTTTGCAGAAAGAATCACTGTTAGGCACATGCACTTCAGGAATGATGCAGCATCAGAATCGCTTCTTCTGGCCCCAGGAGTTGTGGGCATGCAAACATGAGCACATCTTAATTTACTAACCAATTTTTGCAAACGAGTGTGTCCACCCAGAAAAGCAGTCATGGCTTCAGAAGAACCGACCGAAGGGCCGGTGGCAGAGATTGTTGCTTACTTTGAGACTGCCTTTCAGCTGCGTTTTCTTTGTTTAGTTTCAAGTTATCAGTTATGAGTTTTCATTGTGCCCATTTGAGGTGTTGTTTTCCTTGGGTGCTTGTCTTGGACCATCCTCTCAGGTGATTGGCCAGAAGAACCTTGGGGAGCACCTCAACACTGTTTTCGCAGATCGTTGCAAAATGAATCAGGTCTTGATCTTAGCGGTATGTGGGGTCCATGGTGTTGGCCTCGCAATGTGGGCGGTTGTGCTCAGGCAATCCACAGATTGGTGCTTGACAGATCATCCGGCTTCGTGGGATCAAGATCCTACTTGACATGCGTCCCTACAGCAAGTATGGACGAGTTCTACCTTCCACTCACAGCGTTTGACTACTCGAAGAATGGAAAGAATGGATGTGGGGGGATCCAACATGTCACAACATCTTGCGTTAAGTGATGTTAGCAGCAGTAACAAATCTAAATTTAGAGCATCAACTGTACTGGACTTGGCTGTCCCTGAACAGATTTCCCGAACAACAACCAGATGGCAGTTCACTTCCGGGAGTTTCTATTTTGTGGATACCGGGTTTCAGCAGAAGCCATTATCACAAAGTTTGAGCAGTCTTCTGGCGACCGTGTGATGCATGACTTTACAGTCGGCTTGGTCGATGGACAGTCGAAGCTGTTGCTGATGCTGAGTATCGTTGCCTTCGTGGATGAGCTTGAAATCAGTGAGGACGCCATCAATCAATGCCCTATGTTGTTGAAAACATTGGAGAGCTTCCGGTACATTCGCTGCGCATACCAGCACTTTGAGAATGCAGCCGGACATTACCTCAACTCCTTGCGACACTTGCAGTGGGTTTGAGACATGTTCAATTGACTTTTCTAGTCCTTATATATATATATATATTTGATTCCAAGGTGGTAGATATTGACATTCTTTATTGACTCTTTTGAGGCATCCAGTACGTGACATCAGAGAAGATCCAGCCATCTCCAGTTACAATCCTGGGAGACGTTCGAAGCGCAATTGATGTTGAACGCCGTTTGACCCCTGGCAAACCTCCATTGAAGGACTTGCTATCAAAGATTGTTGCGATGTACAATCGCACAGTGAAAGTCAAACATCATCGCATTGACACGCCCAAGAAAAATCTTTGCTACAACATGTTACTTGGATGCATGTATACAATTCTTGCCTACAAGACATCTCACAGTTGTTACATTCATTTTGCCCCGAGGCTCAGGGCCCCGATCCATCTGGTGGAACTGGTCCACCAGCACTACGACCTATACAAACATGAAGAGTCGGGCATCTTGGTTGAGCTACACTAATTTTATGGTTTTGATATATGACTCATCACATCTCATGACTCATGACCATTTTGGACGATTGGCTCAGGTTTGCCCATCTCAGTGCTAAGCTTGGACTTCTGGGTGCCAGGCTGCTGGACCAGAAAAGAGAACCCGAAGTTCAAAGGCAAAGGCCAATTCGAGACCATTCTGACAACTACAGAGACTACAGCTGTCCTCTATGCAACCAGGGCAACTCAGGATAGGGCCTTTGCAGTCCTCTCATGTCAATTGTCTCCAACAATACGACGATGTTTGCTGAGACACTGCCAGGACTTTGCTACAAGGTGCTCCCCAGCTGCTACATCCAAAGCCAAGGAGTGTAACAGTGTATTGAATTTGTTTCTTCATTTTGTGGTTTCAATGAGCGATGTGCCTTCCATTGTGTTCCTGGTGAGTCCCGGCAGAAAATGGCGCAATTGAGCGAAGATGAACACATCCACCTGCACGACATTTGCTGCCTGTGGGTTTGGCTTCGTGCTGAACTTGAAGGGGCCTTTCCGTCCAACATGGTGGACAAGTACACTGATTTGTTTTACAAGGGGTAGCTTGCCAGCAAATCAGATCGTGAAATCAACTTGGTCGCCAAACCCATTTGGCTTGGAGTGATTGGTCGCCAAACCGATTTGGCTGGGGGTGATTGGTCGCCAAACCCACTTGGCTGGGGGTGATTGGTCGCCAAATCCATTTGGCTGGGGGTGATTGGTCGCCAAATCCATTTGGCTGGCAAAATCGTGATTGGTTTTCCAGAAACCCCGTCACAATCGGGCCAATTCCAGACAAGCCTTCATGGGTGGGGAAACTTGAAATCTGAAGGAAAATCAATCACATTCAGCCGGGATGGGACAGCTTGGAAATGTGATTGGTTCCTCGAAAAACCCGTCACAAAACCTATGCTTTTGGGGTTGGGAATCGCAATCAAATTGTTGGGATTGCACTCGGGGACGTGATTGATCATACCAAAACATAGCAAATTGTGATTGGTTCCTGGGAAAACCAATCAACTTTTCAGGCTGGAAATGTGCACAGGAATGTGATTGATTCAGTCGGCCAAACCCGCCAAAACCTGACAACGTCTTTTTTTGTTTTTTATAGATATGTTTATTGTGATGTTGTTGTTTTTTGTGTGTGTGTAGTTATTTGTTGCGGTACTGTGTACAATAAACACAACTGCGGACTGAGGGGTTTGGATGCAGATCTGGGGACGATCATGAAGGCTGCTGAGCCCTTTGAATGGCAACGGATAAACTTTGTCCTTGAGGCAAGGATTTATTTGTAAAACATTGAGTGTCGAGTTGCGAAAACGATCATCCCATCAATGTTGTTCTGTAGGGAATCTTTCTGGACATTGATCTTTATCATCTATCTACTCTCACTGAACTGGCGTTCCTAAAATTGATTTTTCCAAATTACTCTCACTGATCTGGCTTTCCTTTCATAAGCCTAGGGAAAGGCAAATCTAGGACAACTTAGAGATTCATATCACCCAGAGTGAGTTGCTTCAGCAGACTTTGCATCTCATTGTGTTGCTTTCGTTGGCAGTGTACTGATGCATATAAGTAGGTTGCAGTTGTATTACGTGACATTGATTTGCAGTATGGACATTTGGAACTTTCTGTCCCTGACTTCAGTGCCGCGGGGCTGCTGTGGCTGACTTTGTCCAAGAGTCGCAAGACAAAACCCGCAATGCCCTGGAGAAGAGCTTGAAGGCGGCATACGGTGCATGGGAGGAGCAGTTGGCTGGGGACCAGGCCAAATTCCAAGCGGCCCTGATTGCGCTTCTCGCATGGAAGAGTTAATTTTAAACCCCAAACACCCATTGCAAGATGTTGCAAGTGTCTTCTTTAGCCAGTTCGATGTTCAATACTAAGCACTTCCAATTCAATATACTCAAAGTAGTTTAATTTGTTTGTGGTGTCAGTTTCGAAGGATGTTATATAAGTCAAGTTGCGCAATGGCTCCAAGGTCAGAGCGCGAAACGGCCAAGAACCGGTCGAAGCTGATCAAGCAGCTTGAGGACAGTCATATTGTTTTCTCTCTACCATTTGCTGAGATTCAGTTTATGCCTGACACACAGAATACATTTAAATCATTTGATCCTGTAGGACTGCCATGATCGTGCATGGCGGTGCATCCAAGCCTACATGGAATCCAACTTGCAGGTTTTTTGTGGCCGGAGTATGGATGGCGATTCAACAGTGATGCCTCAAGTTCTGACTTGGGTCGACAAGGTCTTTGAGGACATGCCTGGATGCTCCAGCGATGACTCCCGAGCAGTGGTTCTGTTCTTGAACTTGCCGGCTTGTGGAGTGATCTCAGCTACACAGTGGGACTTCTTTTTGTCCTTTGTGGCCAACACACTCAACCGCTTTAGAAGGAACTCCATTGCAATTATAATGCAGCCCAACCGTGCCGGTCAGAAAGCCAAGCCGAGGCAGTGTGCTGTGTTTTTGGTAGTTTTTTGAGAACAACCAGCGATGTCATTGAACAGTGCATTTGTACAGTATGTGTTTGTTGACATGCAGTGAGAAGGTACACCTGTTGTTATTGTGTCCTAGAACCAAAGCGCTCATTGACTGTTACCGTCTGCAGGTCAAAAGATGCAGCAGATGATTCGAAGGATGAGATCGCAGAAAAGCAAGAGGATGAAGGTGGTGCGACAATGGATGATGGTGAAGAAGCAGAAATCTGTGATGTCCGCTACCGTTTTGAGAATCTTCGTCATAAACATGCATGTGTTATGATAGTGCCACTGCGATGTTCGTGATTTCTGTTCTGATTTGCCACGTGTCAGTTGGTTTGCACAGTCCAGTGCATCAGGAAGCAGCTGTCCATGAAGGATAGGGGGCTCAAAGTGAGAGGATTGACTTGGATCTTTGACCAAGTGACTTGTCGCCAAATACGTCCAACCTCTGTGACAGGGTGGGGAATCACTTACAATATTGCGTTTTTGTTTCAGGCTCCATGGGTGCATGTTGAGGCCACAGTATATGGTGCTCGAGATGGGACGTTGCCGGGATGGGCGTGCACATCAAAAGATATTCACAACATCTTCAAGAACAGCAGGTTGATGAAAAGTGGCTGTGTCCACGAAGTAAAAATGTTGGGCAGGCAGGATTTCTTCAAGCCAGAAGCAACTCAGCAAATTAGACAACTGCCGACATTGATGATAGTATTACTGTATTTTTATATCGATGCTCAAACAGTTCCGTCAGAGTTTTCAGTCAGCTTGCGCTTCCCTTTCTCTGCTCATATCTGCTCATGGCTCACCCAAGGCCAGTCCCAGGGGTGGTGGCTCAAGTCTGCCCCATTTGGGGAGAGCTATGACCGACATTCAAGAGATGAAACAAGTGACTTGGCAAGGACAATGATTTTAGAGTCGAGAGACTTTTCAGCATATTCTTCGCAAACCGGTGGGTGAGATGGCCAAGTTTGTGTTGGCAGAGTTTGTGTTTGCAGAATGTAAGATTCTTGTTCCCTGCCAAGGTGGGAGCCGGGTGTGACTTGATAAGGAAGACACTTGCTGCTTTGGAGCTTCCCACAGTGGCAGGAACTGTCGTCATTGATGTTGCTACATACGATGCTTTCCCGGCATTGTCTGTGATGGAGGAGACCTATGTTCCTATGTGTTTGTTTCCCGCATTGTTGCAAACAAATTGAACTTGGACAGGTCGATGCTTTGGACACATGTATAAACTCATAGGTGGCTCGAATAAAGATTGGTGTGTCAGGAGATACAAGATGGAAAAGCTATGGTGTCGTGCTCCATCGCCCTGGATCAGTCACCGCAATCCCTTGCTACAAGGTTGTCAAACAAACTATATGAGAATTGCCGCGCCAAGAAAATGTCGATTCCTAATTTCCCTGACTTCTCTGCTCCCATCAGTGCACTTCGCAATGGGGAGGTCCAGGAGGCAACCGGATCTTTCCAAGTGTGCCGACAACAAGGAACAGCACTTCAGGTCCTGGAGAGTTTTGCTACCAAATTCATGGAGTCGGACCTGACCAAAGATGATGTCATGCGCAAGATCACAGAGCACAATGCTGTCTTCAACCCAAATGGGGACTTTGTTGCAGGGACAAGGCATGGACATTGTTTAAATTTAGGCGTTACTGTCATGCCTAGAGGTTTGATCCATGATGATCCATGGGACATGAGGTTTAATTCAAACAGTCATTCAATGGGTGGGACTGTGGTGGCTGCAACACATTGAAACTGGTCAGGAGTGAAGGGCCTACACCGCAATCACACAAGCGTATCAAATTGGACATTGCAGAAGATACCAAGAAGGAGGATGTGATGAAACTGGAGAACTCGTCATCCACTTAATTAAGTGCGCATTGAGAGGTTCTTTGGGGGGGAGAGTTGGCAGACATGTCTTTTGATGTACCCTGTCATGCTGCTTCTTTTATCATTTTGCTGTCAGTGATGTGTGCTTTTGGACACTATGTTGTTCAAGGCGAAAGTTGCAAGTGAACAATGCCGTGGAGTTGATTGCGACTGAAGATGGGTCTACTTTGTATCTAGTCTCCACATGTGCAAACCAGTTCATCATGCACAAAGAGATGCCGCTGACCCGCACAAAGACTTCTCAGACTAAGAGCCAGCTACTTACATCCCACTATGCATAGATATCAAATATCATATACACACGTTGATTATCTTTGACTTTATATTGTACTAGAATAGTTGACAAATACACACAAAAGAAGGTGCATATACAATTCAGAATTGGTTTGTTGTTTGTTGCTCCTCTTCCACCAACCTTCTACATGCAACAGCTGTCAAGGTTCTCGTTTGGAGCCGGGGAGTGGCGCGATGGGCCAGCTTCCAGTTTTTGCAGGAGTACAGTTGTCTTTTTTGTTTTCATTGCAGTATTTGGTTGTCCCCAAACGTGCCCAGCCTCTGCAAAGTAGATTCCATATAGTCCATGGCTCTTGGTGATCTGTGACGCCATGTCCTAAGGAAGCCCAAGAAGTCTGCAGCGACCCCGAAGGCCGTTTCTTCGCTTGCGAGATGGTGGCATCGACTATCGTCATTGTGGAGAAAAAAGCCTCTCCCGAGCACCTACATGGATTGAGCTGCCTGGACACCCCTACGCCCCTTGGGGAGGTGATTCTAGCATTGGAAGACGCTGGTGAGGCTAGGGTGTCACCTAAACAAGTTATATAACCAAAACCTGTTGCTACAAAGAAATGCAAAGAACAACTGTGACTGTAACTAATATAGATCAGCCTTAAGGTGGTTTTGAGGCTCATGATTAGTCATTCCCTCAGGTGAAGATCGACATTTCTCACCACCAGACAGGGCAGAATGGAATAGAAAGCCACAAAAAGCTTTGTTTCGTCATGGATGAGAAGAAGGACCCAGTAGTGAAGGAAGATCCTGAAGCCCGTCCCGCTCCCAAAAAGAAAGCAAAAGCTGCAAAACCATCTCCCGCTCCTGGGCTTCTATTACTCCAGCAGCGGACGTTAATGTTTTGGAGTGGAGATTTTTGTTAGGCCCCTTCCCGGTCCACCCCACCCCTCTTGAGCCCAGGCCTACACTATGAAGAATTTTGGAGCGTTCATCGATGTTGGCGCATTGAAAGCGTCAGGGAAGCTGGAAGTGGGATGGAGATGCAGGACCAAACGTCATGATCAGGGAGTTATGCAACGTAGATCTATCACTTACAGTACTGTTGATGATGTGTTCCGGTTCCCAAATTCAAGATCTGTACTGAGTCTGCACATTTTGCGAACAGTATCCAAATCGCTTCATTCATGAATTCATGGATTGCACAGGATCGATTCCAACAACACCGCGGGTGTGAAGACAGTGGTCCCAATCCGGCCGATCGCTGTCCTTGGTGGATCCCTTGATCTGCCAGAGGGTGACAAGGTGTTCCGCCTGGCTTGAAACGCTAGGATTTTGTCGCAGCAGTGATGGGCGTGCACTCTGTATAATACAATCTATATACATAGTGTTGTGCTGGTTCTTGTATATATATATATATACTGTGAACTGGTCAGAGCACATCCAACAACTTGTTTCGATGTGACATTCTGCCACTGCCCACCAAATCAAGCCATTTCTCCTTACTGCATATCGCGCCTCACCAAGATCTGGCAAACCAAAAGCAGAACACAGCTGATCAAGCTCCTTCAGTTCTCTTTTGCACAAGTTCCAGGAACTTTTGAGACAAGCCTGTGTTTTCACACTGATGGTGGGTTGCGAAAAGCTGTTTCTGCTGCTCTCCTTTTGAAACAACATGCTGCCACCAATTTGCAGCAACAAACTGAACGAGAAAGAGTTTGAGCGAGAAAGACTGTTTGGACCAACAGTTTGAAGCATTGCCGCAGTCATGCCATAGATTTGCTGGATGCATCCTTCGAGTTCAGCTATTTCAATCAACCAAACACTCTGCTAAGCTTGAACCTGTTCGCAGTGATTTTGGCTGTTCTGGGGCACTTAGATTTCTCAGGCTAGTTCACAGTTTGCAGTGCCAGCAAATGTTTGGCGGTGCCTGTGAAGCTTCTGATGATGAAGATGTTCAAGTGGTCTCATCACAATTATTTGTTCGCCCTGCACCTCTTCTGTAACTTAGTGTCAGTGCGTTGACATGTTGACCTAGCTTAAAGGCTTAGTTCAACAATGAATTTAGATCCACATGGCAACACCGAGGACTTCGATTTGGCTCAACTGATGTCCTCGAACCCTTCACCGCCAGCTTCATCACCGGCAGTCCCCAAATCGCACCTTCCGCCGAGAACAGGACAGCATGCGGAGGGAGTTATTTTTTGGACTGAAGGGGCTGGAAAGAAACCACACATATATGCTGCAGGGGTGTCTATCTTGTCTTAAATAAGAGAAATATTATTATTCTTCCCCTTGGAAGTTCCCAACTTCTCCTTCATACTTCAAGATTGAACCGGTTCCAAAACCAAATGAACAGCCTTTCGCCCAGAACTGACACTGAGCAGATCTGAATAGTAAGGTTTTTTTTTTTGTGAGCATGGTCCCATAAAGGAGCTGCTGCCAAAGCTTCTGCGAAAGCTCCAGCTACACCTGCAGCTAAGAGTTCTGGTCTTGGGAGGTACTCTCCAGAAGACACGTCTTCGGAAGCAGCTGCCAAGCCACAGACTGCCAATCCCAAAGGGAAAGCTGGTGCAAAACCAAAGGCCAAGGGCAAGGGCAAAAAACAAGATGAAGAGTGCCCCTCCAATGAGCACGCTTCCCTACCTGATGGTGATGATGATGAAGATGATGGTGACAACAAGGACGCACATGAACCCGAAGACGTTGTGCGCAAAAGGCCAGCAAACGGTCCTTTGAGGAAGCCTGCATCTGCAAAGAAATCGGCTAAGGGAGGCAGGTATGGAAGGACATATGATGGAACATGCCCTGAGCATGATTTTGTTTCTTGCTTCACCAATAGTCAAGATTTGTGGGGCTCTTTCCCATGACCTGTGTGATACTGTATCGACAGTCACCCTGGAAAGCGTTCTGTTCTCTCGCCTTTTGTCGCTGAGGCTGATGAAACTCCACCGGAGAACCTGAGCGAAAAGGTCATTCCACCAACTATCCCGGAGACTATGCCCAGTGAAGAATTCCCAGCGACTATGCCAACTGAAGAGATGGTCCCGGAAACTATGCCCAGTGAAGAGTTCCCAGCGA